TTGGTAGAGATGGGGTTTCGCCATGTTGACCAGGATGGTCTCGATCTCTTGACCTCGTGATCCACCCGCCTCGGCCTCCCAAAGTGCTGGGATTACAGGTGTGAGCCACTGCGCCCGGCCCCCCTCTTTTTCAAGAAGAAAAAGGGAAGGGTCAGTGAACTCCTCTTACATCTGCTATTTTCTTTAATGCCTCTAGCTCAAAACAATCCTTATGCCAAAGTGGCATATTTTAGGTGGAGGGTTGGGGGGCCTACGCTGCCACCCTCCAGCAGTGTGGATAGAGTTGATGCAGAGGAACATGTCATCTGAGGCAAGCAGTAGTTTAGCTCGGATAATGACGATGGTGTTAGAAATACGGGGAAATGAGAAATTTAAAAGGAAGTAAATCAAAGGATTTGATAATTGGTTAGATATGAGCAGCAATATGCAGGGGGTTGGGGGTGATTAAAAGAGACTGCTACAGCCAGATAAAAAGGACTAAGTGGGAAGAAGATCAAGATTTACTTTGAAACTGAGAGTGCCTTTGGGACAGAAATCTAACCAGACATATGCAGAGAGCAGTTGGATGTACAAGACATGGACTCAGAAAACAGGTCTGGATAAGAAATACACCTTTGGGACATTTAGCATCACTGGAAGAATGAAAGTGCCTCCAACCCCTTGATACAGAGTTTACAATGAAAAGAGCAGAGAACATAGGATTGAGATTTAGGGGGCACACCCGCCTTGGGGGTTATAACAGGTTGAGAAGGCAAGATGCATTGATAAAGCACCATCGGCATTAGACTAATAGTTGAGTAACTGTGAAAGTAATTGGTAGTAACAATGCTGTGGAGTATGTGGCAGGTATCACATCACGTGCTGCTTTTTCTTAATTCCGCTCTGGTACTTGGGATGCCTCCCTGCTGCCTCACTGGGGGGGCGGGCCACTCACCACTTGGGGAGGCTTGCTCCTGGACTGAAAAGCAAGTGAATGACAAATTTAAACTTCAGGGTTACACCCACCTGGACATGATGGAGAAACAATGAGGAAACCTTAAAGAGTAACATGACAGAAATTCTCAGCAATGATCTATCTCTTCAGCTCATTGGTTCAGGCAAGAGTATTCATTTTATTGCTTCTATATATGCATTGTGTATCTGTCATAAATATTGTTCGGTATAGTTCAACATTCAATTCTTTAATGTAGCTGGGCATAGTGGCTCATGCCTGTAATCTCAGCATTTTGGGAGGCTAAGGCGGGTAGATCACTTGAGGTCAGGAAGTTGAGAACAGCCTGGCAAACATGGTGAAAGCCTGTCTCCACTAAAAACACAAAAGTTAGCCAGGTGTGGTGGTGGGAGCCTCTAATCCCAGCTATTTGGGAGGCTGAGACAGGAGAATTGCTTGAACCTAGGAGGTAGAGGCTGCAGTGAGCCAAGATCACACCACCACACTCCAGCCTGGGAGACAGAGCAAGATTCCGTCTCGAAAAAAAAAGAATTCTTTAATGTAAAGCAGCTGCTATGTGATTTTATAAGTGTGGCAAAAGCTACTATGCGTAAATCCCAAGTTGTATGATTCCTTACCTGAGATGGAAGGGAGGATGGGAAGAAGCAAACTGACAAGTTAGAAAAGTAAATAAAATGTCTGAGTAATTTTACTTAAAAAACTGGCAAAACAGAGTCATGAAAAAGAAACTAAAAGCAGGCTGAAACTTACACTACCTGTTTTCAGCAGCTAAAACAAAGCCTGCCCTCCTCCTATTCTATGAAATTGAAAGGATTCTGTCCCATGTACAGAGCATCTACGAAGGCTATGGGAAGTGATCACGTCACAAGCAGGTTGCTGACAGGGGGTGAGGAGGCCTTACAGAAAAAGCCACCACCACGATTTCTCTCCGAGCCAACCATGTGCCTCAGACTTCTCTACTGTGTAGCCCTTTCTTTCTTGGGAGCAGGTAAGTCCCAGTTCTGAACTGGTTGAATTCCAGTTTCAAGACTCTCTCCTGTGGCCACAGAATCAGGCTTGCTCCTGGACTGTTTCGACAGCTGCTCTCTCCTTCCTCCACAGGCTCCTTGGACACCAAGGTCACCCAGAGACCTAGACATGTGGTCACAGTGAAGGAACAGAAAGCAAAGATGGATTGTGTTCCTATGAAAGGACATAGTTATGTTTACTGGTATCGTAAGAAGCTGGAAGAAGAGCTCAAGTTTTTGGTTTACCTGCAGAATGGAGAAATCATTCAGAAAGCAGAAGTGATCAATGAGCGATTTTCAGCCCAATGCCCCGAAAACTCACCCTGTGCCTTGGAGATCCAGTCTACTGAGTCAGGGGATGCAGGACTGTATTTCTGTGCCAGCAGCAAAGCCACAGTGTCAAATGTTAGCCTTTCTTAGAACACAAACTCATCACGGACCCAGCTCAGGAAATAAGTGGTATATCAGGTTGGTAGGAACTGCAATATCAGAAACCAAGCTTGAAAGACAATAAATCAGAAGGAAAAACTTGTAAATAACAGCTCTAAGGGAGGCAAAAAACAAAGGGGGGTGTTATTTAAAACAGCTGATGGAGGCAAAACCCTAGGGAAGGACCCAGAAGGCATAAAAAGTTCAGATTCCTCAGTGTTTGGGATATTAGGTAAGATATACTAGGTAACCTTCTCTCTCTTTTTATATGAGCTTTATGGATTTCTGACAATCTCTACTTAAAGAATGTGATTCTGTGCTTTTCACTTGGTAAAGCTGTGAGTTCAGAAATAAGAATGACAAGCAGGTCAACTGTATCTTTCAGGTGTAGACTCTGATCATCTGACCCAGCACATTTCCTTGAACTAGAGACAGAGAGTCTAAGGGATTTATGAGGGCTTCTCACAACTCTCCCTGCTATGGAAGCTTAGTGGGAACCACTAGCAACCCTGCCTCCAGGATAGTACAATCAGAAAATTGTTTTTTGTTGTTCCCAAAAATTTATATATATACACAATTGTACTTTAGGTTCTGGGATACATGTGCAGATCATGCAGGATTGTTGCATAGGTACATACATGGCAATGTGGTTTGCTGCCTCCATGCCCCCATCACCTATATTTGGCATTTCTCCCCATTATCCGTCCCTAACCTTCCTACCCCCGCTGTCCCTCCCCTAGTCCACCCTGACAGACCCCAGTGTGTGATGCTCCCCTCCCTGTGTCCATGTGTTCTCATTGTTCAACAATCACCTATGAGTGAGAACATGCGGTGTTTGATTTTCTGTTCTTCTGTTAGTTTGCCAAGAATGATGGTTTCCAGATTCATCCATGTCCCTACAAAGAACATGAACTCATTGTTTTTTATGGCTGCATAGTATTCCATGGTGTATATGTGCCATATATTCCTTGTCCAGCCTATCATTGGACATGCCTACCCTTGGTGGGCGTTTAGGTTGGTTCCAGGTCTTTGCTATTGTAAACAGTGCCACAATGAACATACGTGTGCATGTGTCTTTATAACAGAACGACGTACAATCCTTTGGATATATACCCAGTAATGGGACAATCACAAAAAATTTTAAAGCAGCTTTACTGAGATATAAGATATATATGGAATATTTATGCAATAAACAAATGCAACCGATGCGATAAAACACACCCCCACTTTCAGTGTACACTTCAACCAATTTCAAAACATTTTTAAACCCATATAACCATCATGACAATAAAGATACAAAACATTTCCATCGTCTCAAAAAGTTTCCCCACATCTCTTTCTTGAGATCTTTGTTGATTTCTCTTAGCATTGATTTGTAGTTTTTATTATACAGATTTTATATATGTTTTCCTAAATTTTATTTTAGTAAGATTATAAATGTACTAAATAAAAATATTTTCTGCCCAATCAAATACCGCATGTTCTCATTCATAGGCAGGTGTTGAACAATGAGAACACATGGACACAGGGAGGGGAGCATCACACACTGGGGTCTGTTGGGGGGGAATAGGGAACGGACAGTGGGGGGTGGGAGTTGAGAAGAGATAGCATGGGGAGAAATGCCAGATATAGGTAATGGGGAGGAAGGCAGCAAACAACATTGCTATATATGTACCTATGCAACAATCTTGCATGTTCTTCACATGTACCCCAAAACCTTAAATGCAATAAAATATATATTTAAAAAAATTTTCTGCCAAGATTTCACATCAGCCTAATTCAATTTCATCTTTACATTTCTCAATTGACATATCTACCTCAGCATATTACATAAAAACATCTTCTTCAGAAATTGCATATAGTTTGTAGCAACCATATGTGAGCTCACGAAGCCAGCCTCGTTCACCACGTGAACCAATCAAGTGTTAGTGCTGCTCTGTTTCCAGGTAAAATATACTTATTTGCACATATCAGAAAAGCTGTGAAATTTCTGCAAGGTGTGCTTTAAGAAGAGGTATATTTTGTTAATGAAAACATACCTATGAGTTAAGATTATTAAAGGGAATGTCTTAAGGTAAGCACATAATTTGGAATGAGGGATTTGGGTGAGGCAGCCCTGCTGGTCAAGTCTCTGAATTCCATTTTTGTTTCTCCCATGGGCCGCCTTCATCAGGTCTGTGGTTGTACAACACAGAGTGTCCGTAATAGTGAAAGTTGTCCGTGTGAGAACAGGGAATACTTGGGATTCTGTAGTTTCTGCTCAACTTTGCTGTCGACTTAAAATTGCTCCAAAAATACAATTCACTAATTTAAAAATGGATACAAGTATTCAGATGGAGAATTACCATATTGGAAGCACGAAATGGGAACATACTGTCAAATCTGTTGCAATATAGTAACGGTGTTTAATGATATAAATATTTTCATTATTTACTCCTTTATCTAGGAAATAGGACAGTACTTAACACTGAATGCAAGGATCTTAAATACAGTAGAATTGTCAAAATTCTGTCAATAAGAGTAATGTATATATTACCATTTTTGGGATCTGAGGTGTCTCAGAATTAGTAACACATAGTACTGTAGAGGTTATTTTAAAACAGTGTGGAGATAATTTTGCGATTCCATTTTAGGAATACTATTTCTGATTACATGGTTTCTTAGCATAAAGCCTCACTCTTTCATGCAAGAGGGTATATACTATCATACTATGTCCCTATAGTTTTCTATTCCAATCATCCTTCTCAGGAATAAAATATACATGATGATGATAATCATGATGATGATGATATGGATAATGATGAATATCTTGATAATGCAGATAATATGCAGAAAGATAGATGATAGAATTTGTACCATGTTTCCAGGACTAGAATACAATCACAGTAAATATAATGTGATACCTGTTATAACTGAAGTCTGTAAGCAGTCTAACAAAGTACTTTAAATTTTTTCTCTTGACACCTTGACAAATCTGCGAAGTACACATATAAGCTAAGTACTTCCGAGAATATATGAGAGTCCTAAAAAACACTTCCTAACTATGAATTCCAGCATAAAGCATATTGTCTTCGAAGGCAGAAATTTTTAACCTTGGATCCATGGACCTCCAAGGAGTGCACAGATAAAATTCAGGGAATCCATAAATTTGAATGGGAAAATAGATCTTTATTTTAACTAATCTCTAACTGAAATATACTTTTCCTTCTATGATGTAGTGAGTAAACAAAGTAGCTTTAGTAATACCAGTGACAAAGTCAACAATAGAAGTCACAGACATTTGCTTATATGTTGTATAAATGACAGTTGATATAAAAGTCAGGTATTTTCATATCACATTACATGCAATAAATACACTTTCATCACTATGTTGAAATCATGACAGTTTTCAGATTCACCAGGTTATATTTTATTTAATGAAATGTAAATGTGTTCCTATATTAATATATGAGAATTAAAAAAATTTGATATCTGGATATCAAAATAATTGTTTTTCTATATTCTAGTTTATGTATTAAAGATATTATTCTGAGATGTGGTCCTTAGGATTTACCAGTCTGACAAAGAGGTCCATGGTACAAAGTGAAGAACTCCTGTATAAAGAATAAGATCCTCAACTTTGCAGGTATGATTGAGAAGCCTAGACCTATGCATTGGAAGCAACCATGTTGCATGCATTCTTTCTCAGAGTTTCAGCCACACTGCTGCACCTCTTAATGATTCTCACTCTAAATCATTACTTCATTCTCATTCATATTCCCCCTCCTTCTGTTTTTCTTCCAGCAAGGAACACCAATAGCTTCTAAGCCCCACCAGTTTGCAACCAAAAGTTTCATCATGAAAGCCTCTTTTAATTGCAGATAACCTCAGAAATAGAACAACATTTGTCTACCAAAACAAATGCATTCATTAAGAAATCATCTAGAATCCTATTTTTATTTACTAAAACTATTGAGAAGAACCTATGTTATGCAATTAATTTATTCTCACACATTTCTACTCAGTGTTGGAAAATGATACTTTAGTAACCTGGTACAATCCTATGACTGCAAATGTCTGATTTCACTTGATATAGTATTGACTTCTTAACCTTCTGTGAATTAGAACATCGGGTCCAGAAAGTAGTAATAGTAAACATGAATATAGTGTTTCTTATGTATTAATAACTGTTCTAAATGCTTTATGTAATGTTCATCACAGGTTTTGGGGTAGTTACTTATTATCTCAATTTTACAGATAAAATCAAAAAGCTCTGTGACTTTTCCAAGGTTACATAGCTGTTAAGTGGCAGAGACATGACTAAAGCCCATGCTGTCTCCCGAGTCCCTGCTCTAATCCACTGTCACTAGGGGAGTGGTGCTTCAGACTCTTTGCTACTCCTAAAATGACAGGAGTAGCCCCACTCCATCTCTACTGTATTATTTATAGTAAATACAGAGGATGTAGAGAATTGGTTCTTTTTAACAACTAAACATTCAACCCCCTCTTGTGTTTCATTGAGCACAGGTACATGGCGTTCCATGTATCACTCTGACCAGGCAATGAGGGGTCAGCTCTTCTGACCATGCAGGCAGGCCCTTGTCCATTTAGGAGGGATATAAAAAGCTTCTATAAGCAGAAAAGGAGGTGCATGTGACTTGATCCCTCTAAGTCTTAGTCTCACCATCTGCGAAATCAGCTGTGACAATCGGTCATCCTGTAGCAATGACAAATTCTTTACATTGAACCCCAGGGAGGGTCTAGATCTCAGCCCCTTCCCTTGGCCTTTCTCTCTTTCAGAGCCTGTGTCTGTAACTTCAGAGAGATTTCATCCCTGCCATGGGCAGCTGGGTCCTCTGCTATGTGACCCTGTGTCCCCTGGGAGCACGTGAGCCCAGCACACATCCTGTTGGTCAGTTCCTATCCTGAGCTTGCCAAGCCCCTCCCTGGCCAGCACCTGCCTTCTGGACATGATCTCCAGTCTTTATCTCTTTACCCCACAGGACCCTGGGATGCTGACATCTACCAGACACCATCTCAGCTCACTGGGGCTGGATGGGATGTGACCCTGGAGTGGAAACAGAATTTGAGATACAATGCCATGTATTGGTACTGGCAGGACCCAAAACAAAATCTGACAAATCTATTACTCAATGGTTGAAGAGGATGCTCAGAGAGGACACCTAACTGAAGGCTACAGTGTCTCCTGAGAGCAGAAGGGGCTGTTTCCTCTCATGGTGGAGTTGGCCCACACCAGCCAAACAGCTTTGTGCTCTGTCCTAGTAGCACAACACAGTGGAAACACAGCCTGTGTCTCTCTGCCAAAATGTGTCCTAGCCCTACAGCCCCCATCCCATCCTCTAGATTAACTTTTTATTTTTTAATATTTTTAAAATATTTTCTTGAGATTTTACTATGTCTTGTTACTTTTGCAAACACAAAAGATACAAAACTGAAAAGAAAATAGATCTTTTATCCAAGGAGCTAAGGGTCCAGCAAGGAAGTAATTATAATAGATGGAATGTATAATGTAATATAATGATACTATAATCAGAAGTCATTTGGAAGCTCAAGGGAAGACATGCCCAATTCTGTCTGATTGAGTCAGAGAAAGCAAAGAGGAAGTCATATCTGAATTTCACCAGATAGACCCGTGGTTCTGAGTAGGGCATTCTAGGCAAAGAGAACAACTTTTGCAAAGGCATATTAAAGAGTGTGACACTTTGGAGAACAGTTTACAAAGAGAAAAAAGATCATCAACTTACATGAATTAAAAGAAATGGAATACATTTTAGGAAATAGACAGAAAGGAGTTTTTGGAAAAGTTGAGTTTTTGGTTCCATGAATATACTAAGTATGAAAGTCCTTTGGATGCTCTTACTCAAAAGAGAGAGCTGAAGCTTGATTGTCATCAGCAGACAAGCAATTGATACAATTTTTCAATTTTCATCATATAACTTTGATCCTTTACAAAGGGCACCACTTCAAACAATGTGGAATAATGTTAGCAGTAGCAATTCCCATTTGGGATAGTAGAGTTTCAATTGTCCATGGAACAAACAGATAAAAACTAGAAGTAGGCAATTGAATAGACAAGTTGTGAAATTGAGATGCCATAAAGCTGGACTAGACATTGAAATTCTACAGGTTTCAGCATGTAAATAATCGAACTATGGGGACAGAAAATTCCACCCAAAATATAGATTAAGATCACAGAGATAAAATGCATGGAAATTAAGACTGTGATATTCTGGTTCCTTTTGGAGATTAAAGAAGGTTGAGAAAGGGGAGTATTTAGAACATGGGATGTAAAAACAAAAGAGAGAGAGTGAGAGTTTTGTTTTGTCTAGTGTTTGATATTTCTTTTTTCTCTTGAACTATTTTATCAAATCATAAATGTACAACATCTTCCTAACTCTAAACATGCACTTAAATTTTTTTAAAGGAAAAACATTATGCCTTATTACACCATGATCCTGGCTAATAGATTTTCAAAACTTTGGAAAAAATCTTTAAAAAGGTTTCATATGTCACCTGTAACTTACAAATTTAACATTATCAAAGAAGGAATGCTTCTACATTCTTATAAAGGCCGTTAGAAAGAAACAACAATTAAAAAACTAAGAAAATGAGGGAAACAAATAAAGGTAAACCAGCTAGAAGAAGCCACACACACTTCTTGGGTAACGGAATAGTTGGTAAAATGTTACATGTTCATTTACTGAGTAGAACGGAAGGAACATTTTCCACTGAAGTTCCTTTTAGAAAGACATGAGAGTTAGCTAAGATTATTCCAAGAAATCACCAAAGCAGGAAAAGAAAAGCCTCCCTGAGTGAAGCTGCATGAGTCCGCCTACCAATGGCTGGTGCCAAAAGCAGAACTTGAGGTTATGGAGAAGGTGAAAGGTGTGAGAGGGAAAGGAGTTTAGACACACATCTTTCCCAACCAGGTATACTGCATGGGACTGAGATATACATAACTCTGATATTTCAGACTTGTACACCCATGTACCAGCAACAGACTTACAAAATAAACAAAAATGCCAAATAGACCTGACTTAGACATAAATTGGGCAAAAAAGAGTGAAAGTCTTCCATGGAAAATAAATATAAAGCCTTGTTGATAACTATTAACTAAGGCTTAAATACGTGAAAGTATTTCCTATCTTTAGAGGTTGAATAGAGTCAGTGTTTTAAATAGTTTTCCCAAATTAACTTATACATTTAATGTAATCCAATAAAAAATCCCAATAGGTTTTTGACAGAACTTGATAAACAAAATCTAAAATTCACATGAAGCTGCAAAGGATAAAAGAATAGCTAAGGCACTCAAGTAAAAGCTCCACATGAGAGGACTAAATCTAACAAACATGAAGAATTATTATAAAACCACAATAATAAAAGTGGTGTAATACAGGGGCATTGATATATAAATAGATCCAAGGAAAAACATACATGTGCATAAACGCAGCGATGGTACTGCAGTAGTCAAAGAATGTATTTTTCAACAAATGGTGACGGGAAAACTGGGTATCTTTATAAAGAAAAATAAATGCCATTGAACAAATCTCAATACATAGCCAAAATCAATCCCAGCTATATTAAAAGCATAATTGTAATAAAATCACAAGGCTTCTAGAAAACTATATAATATTAGGGCACATCTTCCCAGTCTTAGAGCAGAAAAAGATTTCTTATTCCCTCTATCAGTAGGGAACAGATGGATAAAAATGGCTACATAAAAATTAAGATATTGAATTTATCACAGTTAATTATATAAGAGTGAGAAGATTGACTATATAGTGACATATTATTAAATGTCTGTATCTATATTAGATACATTATATTTAAACCAAATTCATCTCCCTATCTATATTTATATATTCAGAAAAGCTAGTATATATATATATTTTTAAAACCTACAAACGAATTTTTCTACAGATCAATGAGAAAAAGGTAACTGTCAATAGAAAAAGTGAGTGAAAGCCGTAAGCACTTAGCAAAATCTCAATGGTCGTTAATCATGTAAATGTTGCCAAATGTCATAATCAGAGAAATAGAAATTGAGTCCAATGAAATATATACCCACAAGAATGGCTACAATGACAAAAATAGTAGTCTATTAAGCTTTGGCAAGGCAAAGTGTCAACAAGAACTTTCTGAATCACTGGCTAGGGTGTATATTGGTAGATCTACATTGGAAAACAATTTGGTGTTATCTAGTAAAGTTCAAGATGTGTGTACCCACTATCCATCAATTTCACCCTTGAGAAAGGCTTTTCTAGAGAAACTCTTCTATGAAAATCAGGACAAGAATATTTTCCGTAATACATCTGTAATAACAACAATGTATAAAATATCCAAATGTAACTTAACAGAATAAATAATCATGGTATATTATTATAAAGAAATTAGGGAGTGGTAAAATTCATGAACTAAAACTAAACACACAAACATGACTGAATTGTAAAACTTTGAAAACTTACATTGCAGAATAAAGGTACAGTGTTGTCTTGTTTGTGTAGTTTGAAAGCATATAAAACTAAAGACTATTTTTTTTGCTTATGTACCTATGTGTTAAAGTATAAAAGAGAAATGAATAAATATAAAAACAAATACCTCAATAGAGTTAAAGAACAGGAGCATGTGATCTGGGAAAAGAAATAAGAGCTTTCAAATATTCTGGTAATGTTTTATTTCCTATGTCAATTTTTTAAGTGATCTTTTTGTTAGTATGTTATCAAGTTATTATCTATATATTCAAAGTCAATTTTGTAATATGGAGAAAACAACCTCACTGAATAAGTAAATAAGCAAGGAAAAGTCTATAGAAAGATGTACACTAAGTTGTTAACATTACTTATGTGAAATGAGGATGAGATGGAGAAAAAAAGTCACCAAAAATGCACTATTTAAAATAAATAGTTACAGAGAGAAAAAGCATAAAGGCATGTCATCTAAAAGAAACACTAGTAAATGAACAAGCTAATATACACCAGAAAGTGCTAGGAGGTGAAGTATTTTTCAAAGCAGTGGCTAGCTTCAGAATCATAAATTTAGCAATTACTACAGAGATCTGTATTATACTAAAAGATAATTAGATAATTAATAGTCAGAAGGAATGTCCAGTCTTGAGTTAGCAACTGATGTTCAAATTAATGGCAAGGGACACTTTTGAAACAATTTTAATTTTATATTTTGGCTTTGCATATAAGCCAAGTAGTAGATAAGATGAAAATGCATTGATGAGAACTGATGATGATCATTAACTGAAAAAAAATCTTAAACAGAATTTCAAGAATTTTTATAATAAAAAATAATGTGTCTATATATCTGCACATTTATATATGGGGGACAGAAGGATCTAGAAAGACTGTCACTAAGATGTTAACAGTGATAATCACTTTCCGGCAGTGTGTCATGTTTTTATTTTGCTATTTCATTTTCTAACTTTCTAAAACATCAGTGCATAACTTATATTAGCAAAAATAGACGTAAAATATTTTAAATGAATACAGAGTAACTTAGTTATATTTATTGAGTTAGGATAAAAGCTTTTTTCCTGATTAAAAAAAAAACACGAAGTGTTTTTGCTCAGGAACATGAAGCAGTAGCATGATGATTATGAGTCTGTGGAAGGATCACGTCACAAGAAGGTGCAGACGGGGAATGAAAAAGCCTCATCCCTTTGCGACGTCAAAGCGACGATGGGCACCAGGCTTCTCAGCTGTGCAGCCCTGTGTCTCCTGGCAGCAGGTCAGCTCTGAGCACAAAAGAAAAATTCTTGTCCTGGGCTTGGGCTTGCCAACCCCCATATCCAAGCTTTCTTTGTTTGTTGGTTGGTTGGTTTTTGTTTTTGTTTCATTAAGGTCTTTTCTGGACTCTGTCTACAGCTTCTGTTTCTTTCTCTTACAGGCTCTTTTCATGCCAAAGTCACACAGACGCCAGGATATTTGGTCAAAAGAAAAGGACAGAAAACAGAGATGGATTGTACCCCCGAAAAAGGACATACTTTTGTTTATTGGTATCAACAGAAGCAGAATAAAGACTTGATGTTTTTGATTTCCTTTCAGAATGAACAAATTCTTGAAGAAACGGAGATGCACAAGAAGCGATTCTTATCTCAATGCCCCAAGAACTCACCCTGCAGCCTGGCAATCCTGTCCTCGGACCCAGGAGACAGGGCCCTGTATCTCTGTGCCAGCAGTCAATCCACAGCACTGAAATGTCAGTTCCTCTCAGCACACAAACTTGTCATAGACCCAGCTCAGGAAGCAGGTGATGTATTAGGTTGCAAGGGAGTAACAGAAAATAACTGAAGCCAGCTTAAGCCACAGTGGAATTCAACAAAAGGATCAAGGGTGTTTAGCAGAAGTCAAGAAGTGATGGGCAGACAATTCTGAAAAGGCACCAGTAGGGTGGGGCTCTAGAATGGCTATCTCTCCAGCTCTGATTTTTCTTCAGTTTTGGCTGTTGCATGCTTTTCTCTCCCTGCACACCATCTCTTTGTGGTGAGAATGAGATGGTCACTAAAGGTTATAAATTCAGTTGCCATCATTTCCCTACACTAACAAACACCATCCCGGCTCTTTCTAAGCCTGAGTTCAAAATACCAGGAGAAAAAAACAGATGGGTCATAACTCAGCCATGAACCTTCTCATAGAGCACTCAATGGTTGGCGTGTATGTAATGTATTTAAAAATCACGTAAATGTCACTTTTCCACTCAGCCCAAGCAAGCGAAATGCTGTTTTTCTGTATGTACATTCAGTCTGTTGCTTCTATATGATAGATAGTACTATGTTCATTCTTCAGAAATACATACGCAGTTTTTCTCCCATTTCCTGCCAGAAAAAAATCTTTGTCCTGGGCTTGCCAACCCCCAGATCCAAGCTTGCTCTATTTATTTATTTATTTATTTATTTATTTATTTATTTATTTATTTATTTATTTATTTAAGGTCTTTCCTGGACTCTGTCAATCGTTTCTGTTTCTTTCTCTTCAGGCTCTTTTCATGCCAAAGTCACACAGAGTCCAGGATATTTGGTCAAAGGAAAAATTTGAAAATTCTTGTATAAATACCTTCATAGACTTGTATAATTGCTTTATAGGATTATACACCCAGAGTGAGTCACGATTGCCGAGATATGCAATAGTATGCATATTTTATGTATCTAAATACCACCACGGGGTTCTTCAGGATCACTGTATAAATCTGCAATCCCATATAAAAGTGAATAAGGTTACCTCCTACATCCTATTACTTCCTTTAATCATTATCCAGTGATCTAGATTGTTCTCAGTTTAGCAATGTAGAGATTCCAGCCTCTTCCCCCTACACACAGCCAGAATATCACCAGTGTTAACCATAAAGATACAGGTGACAATTTTTTAAGTAAATAAAACCAATGATTTAAAGAAACTAGATTATTTCCTACCACTATAATAATAACTGGCAACAATCTAGAAAGCTAAATAATGTTCTCTCCCTCCTTTTCCTTCCATTGTATTTTCCTAATTGCTAATGAGTTTGAGCATATCTTCACATGATAGTGGTCCTGGATTTCTTTTCTCAAAATGGCCTATCCATATCCTCTGGCAAATTCTCTATTGAGAGTTCTGTATTTTCCTCAACAATTTGTAGGAGGTCCTAAGATATACAACATATTAGTCACCTTTTTAAAATTTTAGGCACTGGAAATACCACCATCCAAAATGGTACCACCCCTGTTCCAGACTTCAAAGAATCAGTCGATGTGGGAAGAAGCAGCTGGTCTCTTAACTTAGCAGGTGGATGTGTGTTATCTCTATTATGTGAATGAGACATCTGTCTTTCACGTCCCCTCTCCTGAGTGTCCGACATGCTGTCCCCTCCATTATTATTAATGTCTTTAAACAGCATAGAAAAGTTACCTGCTATGGCTGTCCCTAAACTCTATCACCCATCGACACCCTTTTCATCCAGAACTGCTGAAAAAATGTTTTGCTCCATTCAGCTACGCTTTTTTACTATCTGGGGTAAACGTGATTCAAATTACTTTTTATTGCTCTTTTCTAAGTGGATTATGCTGCCTGGTTATAGCCAAGGACAGAAAAACTTCACACATCTTTTCTGAAGACTTAATCCTTGCCCACACATTATCTCCTTTAGGGCCAAGTTCCCTACTGCAAACACCAGTGTCCTTAAGCTCTTGATATGACAGCTGATTCGTTTTGACTCCACAGATGCTTGCAGAGCTACTCCCATTCACTGATACATAAAAGCATTGAGAAACTTTCAGCTACACTACATGGAATTTTGGTCTCTGGGGAAAGTGAGAAGAGCAAAAATAACCATAAAAAATGTGTTTCAAATAATGTGTACAAGGATGACAAAATATAGATTACTTTCATGAAAACTATTAGAACATTTATATTCTTTTTGGGAGTAATGTATCATTGGGTACATTAAAACAAATTCCTGAAGAATTTTGGGAAAAAATTAATTTAGGAAAACAAATTTTAAATGATATCCTGAAAACCATCAGGGTTTACCATAAAAGTAACAATCTAAAAAACATCAAACAAACAATTTAATAATGAAAGAGAAAATATAAATACAGAAAATTCATATGAATAGGTAATGAAATATTAGTAAAAAATGTGTTTGAGAACACTTACAAATGAATTTTCTTGCCTAATTTGATTAAGAGTATAGTCAAAGTGTTACTCTTTTAAAGTACTTATAATAGTGTTGTTGGACAATATGGAACAAAAACTTTAAAATGCTTATTTTTGAGAATTTGGCTTTAAATAAAAATAGATAGTTGTTACTGTGGTTGTCCTATTGCCTTAAGCCACTATAAAACTTCATAAAAATTATAAGACAACTATTTTGAGGCATCAGACAACAGGCAACATAGGCTCGCCATCACTGGGAAAGAGGAAACCTAGAAGGGGAATTTCACTATTGTCCTAAAACTCTGCCTTGGTATGATTTCTGGGCTGCAGCACAAGGATATGAAGCCTAGGCAAAGGGCAGTGGTCTTTCCAGAATAGGGAGGCAGAGATTGAGTTCAGAGCTGTAAACATGGCTGCTGGTGGTAGGGATAAGCTACTGCAGAGAAGGAAGCTATGCAGAATAAGACCTCTAAATATTGTATGAGGACCCCGTAAGTCTCTGGTCAAAAACTAAGCATCAACTGCATAGAAAAAGCCTCCATATGACCTGGCAGAGGGAAGTTGCTGGGTAGCTGTGAGAGGAATGGAGATTCTGACAGTCACACTGGTAGGGGAGACATGAATCCTGAATAGGCAGAGCAGAGAGGACTTGCTGAAACCCCTGGGGAAGCAGCTGGCACCACAGAGGGGTCAGGTCTCAAGAGAATGACTACCAAAGTTCTAGAGTAAACCACTCCAGAACTGCCCTAACAAAGCTCAGCAAGTCTCAAAACGATCTCGCTGATCTGCCAATAAATTCACTGCCTTTTGAAGAAAAATATCTCAGCACTCTCTAAATAAAGGCAAATATATATATACAAATATACACATATATGAAACCTACAGATATATATGTCTGTATCTCTAGAGTATCAAAAATGTAGCATCCACAATTTCAATCTTGAAATGAAAAAAAAAAATAGACATAGGAAAAACTAGGAAATGTCACATGGGGAAAAAATAAACAATAAAAAGCAACCCTGAAATAACACAGATATTGGAAATTTCTAATGAGAATATTTAAGCAGCTATTATTATAAATATGTTCAAGAATTTGGAGGAAAATATGGTCATGATTTAATTAATTGATGAAATTGATTAACCCACAGCAATCGAGACAAAAAGGGGAAAGATACAAATTACCATATCAATGATGAGGAAAGTATGTCTATAGATACAAAAGACACTAAAATAGTGATAGAATATTATAAGCTTATGCAATATATTGTTCAACTTAGATGAAATGAAATTATTTGAATAACGCTATTTACCAAAATGATTAAAAATGAAATAAGAAATATAAAGAACTTCATATGAAGGAAGTTAAATTTTTTATCAAAAACCATCTCTCCAAGGAAACTCCAGACCCATATTTCTTTCTTGATGAATTCTATTAAAAATTTTAAGGAAAAAAGACTATCCATTTTATATAAACTTTTTCAGAAAATAGAAGAGAAAGAAACACTTCAAAACACTTTTTTAATCTCAGCAAAACCCTAATGCCAAAATCTGTCAAATGCATTAGAGAACAGTAACTTTTATGACCACAAATGAAAGAAAACTTTTCACAATATATTAACAGATTAAATCCAAATATGTCTCAGTAAAATACTGGCAAACTGAATCCAGCAGCACATCAAAAAGCTTATCCACTGCAATCAAGTTGGCTTCACTTCAATCGAGATGCAAGGCTGGTTCAACATACGCAAATCAATAAGCATAATTCAACACGTAAACAGATCTAAAGACAAAAAATACATGATTATCTCAATAGATGCAGAAAAGGCCTTCAATAAAATTCAACATCATGTTAAAATCTCTCAAAAAACTAGGCATTGAGGAACATACATCAAAATAATAAGAGCTATTTGTGACAAACCCAGAGCCAATATCATACTGAATGGGCAAAAGCTTGAAGCATTCCCCTCGAAAATGAGCACAAGGCAAGGATGCCCTCTCTCACCACTCCTATTCAACATAGTGTTGGAAGTTCTGGCCAGGCCAATCAGGCAAGAGAAAGAAATAAAGCGTATTCAAATAGGAAGAGAGGAAGTCAAATTGTCTTTGTTTGCAGATGACATGATTCTATATCTAGAAAACCCTGTTGTCCCAGCCCAAAAGCTTCTTAAGCTAATAAGCAACTTCAGCCAAGTCTCAGGATACAAAATCAATGTGCAGAAGTCACAAGTATTTCTATACACCAACAAAGGGCAAGCAGAGAGCAAAATCATGAATGAACTCCCATTCACAATTGCTACAAAGTGAATAAAATACCTAGGGATACAGCTAACAAGGGAAGTGAAGGACATCTTCAAGGATAACTACAAACCACTGTTCAAGGAAACCAGAGAGGACACAAACAAATGGAAAAATATTTCATCCTCATGTATAGGAAGAATCAATATTGTGAAAATGGCCATACTGCACATAGTAATTTACAGAATCAATGCTATTCCCATTAAACTACTATTGACATTCTTCACAGAATTAGGAAAAACTATTTTAAAATTCATATGGAACCAAAAAAGAGACCAAATAGTCAAGACAATCATAAGCAAAAAGAACAAAGCTGGAGGCATCAAGCTACCAAACTTTCAAACTATACTATAAGGCTACAATAACCAAAACAGCATAGTACTGGTACAAAAACAGACACATAGACCAATGGAACAGAGTAGAGAACTCAAATAGTTCATACATCTACAACCATCTGATCTTTGACAAACCTGAAAAAATAAGTAATGGGGAAGGATTCCCTATTTAATAAATGATGCTGGGAGAACTGGCTATCCATTTGCAGAAAACTGAAACCGGACCTCTTCCTCACACTTCATATGAAAACTAAATCAAGATGGATTAAAGACTTATATGTAAAACCCAAAACTATAAAAACCCTAGGATAAATTCTAGGCAATACCTTTCAGGATATAGGCATAGGCATAGATTTCATGATGAAATCATTAAAAGCAATTACAACAAAAGCAAAAATTGACAAATGGGATCTAATTAAACTAAAGGACTTCTGCACAGCAAAATAAATTATCATCCTAGTGAACAGGAAACCTACAGAGTGGGAGAAAATTTTGCTGTCTATCCATCTAACAAAGGTCTGATATCCAGAATCCACAAGAAATTCAAACAAATTTACCAAAAAAAAACCCAAACAACCTGATTAAAACATGGGCAAAAGACATGAACAGACACTTCTTAAAAGAAGACATTCATGCAGCCAACAAACATACCAAAATAAAAACTCAGCATCAGTAATCATTAGAGAAATGCAAATCAAAACCACAATGAGATATCATCTCATGCCAGTCAAAAGAGTCATTATGAAAAAGTCACAAAACAATGAATGTTGGCAAGGTTGTGGAGAAATAGGAATGCTTTTACACTGTTGGTTAGAACCTAAATTAGTCCAACCATTGTGGAAGACAGTGTAGTGCTTCCTCAAAGATCTAGAACCAGAAATATTATTTGACCCAGCAATCCTATTACTGGACATATACCCAAAGGAATCTAAATCATTCTATTACAAAGATACATGCATGTATATGTTCATTGCAGCACTATCATAATAGTAAAGACATGGAACCAACCCAAATACCCATCAATGATAGACTGAATAAAGAAAATGTGGTACATATACACCATGAAATACTATGCAGCCATAAAAAGGAATGAGATCATGTCCTTTGCGGGGACACAGAAGAAGCTGGAAGCTGTTATCCTCAGCAAACCAACCCAGGAACAGAGAACCAAATCCTGCATGTTCTCACTTATAAGTGGGAGCTGAATCATGAGAACATATGGACACAGGGAGGGGAACAACACACACTGTGACATGTTAGGGGGTGAAGGGGGGAGAGAGCACACTAGGAAAAAAAGCTAATGCATGCTGTACTTAATACCTAGGTGATGGGTTGATAGGTGCAGCAAACCTCCATGGTACACATTTACGTATGTAACAAACCTGCACATCCTACACATGTACCCCAGAACTAAAAAAAAAAAAATAGAATTGGGGGGTGGGGCTAGATAATTCACTTGCATTTCGATTAGCAAAAGCTTTTAAAAATTAATTTACTTCAAAAATAGAAAATATACTTTTAGATCAAAAAAAATAAATAAATCCAAGTATGTATGAATATATGTATATATTTGTGTGCATATGCATATGTGAATGATTCTACAACATGACCAAGAGAGTTTATTACAGGAGAGACAGTGGTTTAGCCTTCCAAAGTCAATATACTTCACCACATAAACAGAATCAAAGACAAAAACCACATGATTATCTCAACTGATGCAGAGAAGGCCTTTGACAAAATTCAACAGCCCTTTATGCTAAAAACCCTCAATAAACTAGGTATTGACGGAACGTATCTCAAAATAATAAAAGCTATTTATGACAAACCAACAGCCAATACCATACTGAATGGGCAAAAACTGGAAGCATTCCCTTTGCAATCTGGCACTAGACAAGGATGCCTTCTCTCACCACTCCTATTCAATATAGTATTGGAAGTTCTCACCAGAGCAATCAGGCAAGAAAAAGAAATAAAGGGTATTCAAATAGGAAAGGAGGAAGTCAAATTGTCTCTATTTGCAGACGACATGATTGTATATCTAGAAGACCCCATCGTCTCAGCCCAAAACC